TTCCTGTTTTCCAAGAGTTTTGACGGTGCCCAAGAGGTGTCTTACCAATAAACCTTATTACAGTAGTCGCCGGCTATTAAACCCATGGTTAATACTATCGCCGCTTATTAAGGCCCAATTTGGTCTGGGCCCGAGGTGGGCTTAATAACCGGCGACTACTGTATTCTAAGTCTACATATTACTGTCATGTTTTTCAAAGAAAGTTTTGCTGAAAATTTTGGATATTACCTTCAAAATAAAACATTCTATCTCCCCTAGCGGCATTTTACTCACCTCCCTTAGCTGACGCTGTGCTGCACATTAACTGTTCTATATTCCGCAAATTACGAATTGCAGTAACACAGAAGAGAACCCAAGGCATCAGTCTACCGCGTAGTTCAGCAGTCTAGGTGAGATCACATCTCTGGTGATAGATTACTCTGTCAAAACTGCCGCGACAAACTTTGCGTTGCCACTGGCGCCTTCCAAGGTATCCTCCGCACTTTCTGTCGGATCAGAATACTTTGTGTGTAAATGTAGCTCTGGTGGATTAGTACTCCTCGTTTCACCCACATCGTAAACACTCGCATGGATGACAGCGACCAAAATTCACTTGCATGGATTTTGTATTGGGGGTCTAATTCAGACCGCACTAATTGATCGAACTTTTCACTTGACCATAATTTATCGTGTAGTATGCTGCTGTGAGAATACGCTTTACAGAAAGTTTGCCATTCAATTTACAATGTATACTCTACCGATTCTTTTATTTCACACTTTACTTTCGGGACCGTAAATTTTCTGCTTAACTACCGCCTTGTTTTTCCCTCTCAATTTTCAGTCCTTAAGAGCTAAGTTTCGCGCTAAACAACAACAGACTTCCAAACCGGATGCCGCGGATGAAGACCTCACCGGTGTCAACGGTGCGCCAGAATCCCTTTTCACACCTGGTGCCTTCTTAGCCGGTGATGGGCTTTCGGCATCAGCAGCCGCCTTGGGCATTAAAGGTGCTGGTTATAACGGTCCGAACTCACAAAATATAATTTTGGTTGACGACCAGCTTCCATCCCACCCGCCTGGTGGTGATCCTTCGTCGGGTCGCGGCACCTTCATTGCGGCCGACCTAGAGATCGTGCGAGTAATTTCGTCTCGGGAGCGCAGGTGGCGGACGCGAACTACGACTTTGCAAAGTCAGGGGAAAACATTTTATGAGAACATTGTGCTTGGAATCCTCCGCAATGTTATGGTAAGACTGTTTATCACTCATAACTATAATATTCTGCCTTTTAAGACTTAATCAAAATTACCAACTTCGAACGCACCTGCTTTTAGGAAAATAGGGGTCTGTGGGGGTTGTGTTTTGCAAATGACTTATTTCAACCTCGAGGCATTTATCCACATCTCCCTTGTCGCTGGAGTTTACCGTTAACACGAAAAAGGAAAAGGTCCGGAGTGCTATGCTTTGTGGTTCTAGTGTTGTCCGTTGAAGGGATAAGCCGGTTGTGCTTACTACTGAGATCAAACTGGAAGGTCTCCTTAATTATGATAGATTAGCGTTCGCTGATCAGTTTACGGGGCATGCTTTTCCCGTTGTGCCTTTGGGCTCAACCTAGAGCCCTCCTAGGCAGTCGCCTAGCGACTAGTGACATTAACAGATAATGGGGCATTGACAAAAACAAGTGTGATCGGAACAGTCGTTTCTGACTTAGTCGTGCTCAGCTTGACACAACGATACTTTGGAGCATCGGCAATTCGAATCCAGACATGGCTGGATATGTTTGGCTGATAAAAGTGACTAAGATAGTAATGAATATTCCGGTCTCCCTAGTTTTCGTTGGTACCCACTTATCTACATATACTACTCGTCACCGTGCGACTGCCTGCGAGAGGTTTAGATTGAGTCTTAAAGCACGATGGGACGAGCATTTTGGTCAACTGGTGATTGCGCGCCATTCTGTCATAGTTGATATTCCCGATCCCAACGGATAGGACAAGCGCCTATGTCTAATTGTAAGAGCCCAATGATCAAATATCTCGTGTTCAGGTTTTCCACACTTGGGGTTGAGTATGGTTGACTGGTGACGGCTAGTAAACCAGAAATCGCTATTCTCACTTCCAGGGTGTTTTTTCAATACCCCTTTTCGAAATTCCTAGGCCTTAATTGCAGACCAGTTAAGTGCAGGTGCTGGGCTCATGTGCAGTTGGTGAGTTTTCAGTGAAATGCTAACTGGAATGTGTTATCGATTATAAGGAATTACTTAAGCAAGGTAAACGGTATCTTTCGATTTTAAAAATTGCAATTATGAGATTTTTTACGACTGAAATGTTGACTCACACAAAATCGCCATAATTAGGTTTATGAATGCTGTTTACAGGGTATACAACAAGATCCATATCCATACGTGAAAGCGCAGAGCTATGTGTGATTTTCCTTACACCAGAAGTATTTATCTGGAAGTCTTGAAACACTCAGCGTGAGTGTAGCTCCAGGTTAGGTTCAAAAATATTTGGGAATCGAAAAACTTTATAAAACTGAAAGATGTCCTTCGAGCATAAAATCGGAAAAAGACGTAATTTGCTACCAAATGAGTTGGAAAATATTTTCGGCCATTTACCGTGTATTTGCATTTTTACAGGCACCAAAACGATGCGAAAATCCATACTATCTAAGTAGTCTTTTATTGAGTGTAATCTATGCAAATGACTGAAAAAAAGCTCATTCAAAAACTGACATCCTGACATGACTGCAATAATAAAGGATTATCTATGCGATAATACTACAACTAAGCCTAAGTAATCCCTTCTAGTCGAAAAGGCATTTCGGAATTTCGACCAACATGCCATTAGATAGCTCACCTACTTAAGTACGCCCATGCAGTGCTTCAACTTCCGCCTATGCGTTTGGTCTATCCCGTGTATTTTTTCTAAAGCAAATTAACCTGAGTTCACATTGGAGGGCAAAGATTCATCCTGGTACTTATTAACTATCGTAGTATATATGTATATAAATTCCATTATAGGCAGAAATACATTACCGACACACCCCAGGGAGACTGGATTAGCCATTTCTAGCTTATAAGCCGTCATCAGCTAGCCTTGGGTGTCGCCATCCTTGGGGTTTGGCATGGCTGGCTGATGACGGCTAATAAGTCAGAAACGGCCATTACAGTCTGTCTGGCCTATGTCAGTAATGTATTTCTGCCTATAATATGCTAATCGTTCAGCGACTACTGGTTGGGCTCGAGTGCGAACTCCGATGCATAACTGGACGTGTGCCTTCCGTCACCGATCGGTGAATGCCATTGTATACCTATTGATTACCATTGAGTAATCATCCATTCGATAACATTAGGTGGCATTCAAGCCATTTAGGTAACGAGTTTTCATGAGGGAAATTTTACTTAGGTGGCGTAAATCAGTATTGTTGTACATGCTTTCTATTGGTAGAACTTTTCAACCTTATCTACTTAATGCTTACTGAAAAAACGACCACTTTAATATCCCACTGATATTGGCGGTGAGATTCATAATGACTTCGACCTTTTCAAAGTTAAAACTTGGGTAAAATCCAATTCCTGTTAGATAACTTTGCGATTCACCCAACCTTGGTATAGAAACCTCTGTAAAGGTTATGGGGTTAAGTTCTTCACTTGATGACCTACATTTCTGATTTTTTTTCATTACAAATACGTTTCCAGGAAGCCCACTGAGTTAGGTGTCTCAGGCGCTCTACTTCCGTGGAAGGCTAAACCTCCACTGCCACTGCAACACCTACCTTCGAATTACATGTAGCATGCCGTCAGTGTATACAGTTTGTCCGAGTAGACACGTCTTACTAGGAAAGTAGAAAATCGATATGACCTGAGGAGCCAT